TGTGAAAGCTGTGACAACAGCAAAAGCACTTACAGAAATACCCAGCTCCCAGTCACAGAGTAGAAATGACACTTTCTCTACCTGCTCTGCCCAACACCCACCCAACCCTTGGGGTTAGACTCCTTCCCAGCAAACCTCTCTCACTCAGGATATGCAGTTTAGGATATTCCAGGTGGAATTTTCTGTTCTTTGGAGAGGAAAGCATGGCAAAGGGACCCAGGCAGATCTGAGCTGCCTTGCTTTTGAAATGTCAGGCTGGTCACTTCCTGAGAAGCTGAAGATACAAACTCCATGCTCTTCCCCTTGGGCAGAGGATGTTTCAATCCTCCTGTTGCCCTTGTTTTTCTCTGCTGCTCTCAGCTGGGCTGTTTCTTTGGGAATGAACATCCCACGTGGACATTCCAAACCCGAGTGTGCAAAAGAGTTTGCACAACAAGGTGGTGGGGGTTTTAGCCACTCCTGATGTTTGGTTTCACCTCTAGAGCATGTGGGAGAACACCCAGTGCTGTCAGAGATCTGAGAGACCCCCCCAGAGTAAAAGCAGACCTGGAGCAGCTGCTGCCTGCACACAAAGCCTCTCCCTGCTGCTCCAGGTGCTGCCCTTGGCATCTGCTCACACGAGTTCACTGCTGCTTCACCAGCCTCTCCTTTGATACTGAGAGATGCACTAGCAGGACCATCACCCCAGGGACATGAAGTCACAGCAGACATTAACCCACAGAAGCCACAGAAGGCTGCTGGTGAGCAAAGATTAGCTCCCAGGTCAAACACGACCTGCTGCTCACCACCAGGTGCTAGCCAGGTGAGGTTTCAGTTGCAAAACCCACCTCAGGGATGTGCTCCATCAGCACAAGCAAGGACTCACAGCAAGGACTCACAGCTCCTAACAGGCAGTTTTAGGCTGCCAGAGAGACAGAGGAGAGAAGAATAATGAGACCACTAGTACTGCTTGTCCTGGGGGTTAAGCAAGCACTGAGATCCCACCATACAGAGTTGGTGGAGTTGGAAGAGACCTCTAGGGATCATCTAGTCCAACTCTCCCACTGAAGCAGGATCATTTAGAGCACATCCCACAGGGCTGCAGCCAGGGGGGTCTGGGATGGCTCCAGAGAAGGGGACTCCACACCCTCCCTGGGCAGCCTGTCCCAGGGCTCTGTCACCCTCACTGGAAATAAGTTTTTCCCCATCTTCCCATGTCCCTTCCCATGTTCCAGCCTGTGCCTGTTGCCCCTCGTCCTGTCCCTGGGCACTGCTGAGCAGAGTCTGGCTCCATCCTCCTGCACCCACCCTGAGATACTGCCAGGCATTGATCAGCTCTCCCCTCAGCCTTCTCCTCTGCAGTCTAAAACCCACAAATCAAAGCTCAGCTCAGTGGGCAATCACGTTCTGGCAGCAGGGATTCCTCCAGCAAACCACCCAACAGATGGGGCCTGACATGTAGATATGGCAGCAAAAGGGTTTCTCCTCTTGCTGCAGGTGAATTGCTTAACCAAAAGTGACCCCTGAAGAGAAAGAATGACCCCAGCTGCTGGGAAAGGCCCCAGATAAGACTGATCCACACTAACCAAGCAGAGCTGAGAGGCAGGCAGGGGAAGAGCAAACAGCTGCCAAAACAAACAGGAGACTTTCACCAACCTGTGCTCTGCTTGGAGCTCGAGGAGCCACTCTGTTCTACCTTTGCTTTCTTCTTCTTGGAGGAGGAGTCAGAAGAGGGCGCTGGACGTTTCTCTACCGCGGGGGTGGAGAGGGCCCGTTTCTTGAAGAGCTCTCGCTCCCTCAACAAGCTGGGATCCATCGTCCTGCCGCGGGGAGCAGCAGGGGGGAGGCAGGAAACAGGGAGGGGGGGCAGGAAGGGATGAAAGAGCAGAGATACCCGGTGATGAGGTGGTTTCTTTGCATCCTTCTCTCTCCCCGGGCCTGGAGTTTAAGAATCTGATGCGTCTGGGTGGCCCGGCCCCCTGTGTCCCCTCCCTGTCCCTTGTGTCCCTTGCCAACCCCCCTGTGTCCCCCCCAACCCCCGTGTCCCCTC